TGTATGCCAAGAAGGCACTTGGTTACTACATGGACATAATTCGTGTGAATTCCTGGTACCGTGTGCAATACATGGACATCATTGGTGGAATAATTGGTGTACTATGCTATCCGTGTGCTCGCGTGATCCGCGTCTGCATCACCATCTGAGATGTATAGGTGTCCCTACATCTGGATTGCGATATACTTGAATTGTCGTGACTTCTGGTACTGGTACTGGTACTGGTAGGACGCAGCTGAAGGCGTGCTATCGCTGTGCGGTCTTGCTGCATGAACTTGGTGTATCAACTCATTGGTGAATGCTCATGCTTTGTTTTGTTGGCATGCGTGTTTTGTTACAGGTGGTGGGTGCATCTTCTTGGCGTAGTGAACGGATGTGTAGCACTGATGATTACATTTTGTCTGCTACTGTTCTAAAATGCCTGTCGACGGCGTGACGGCGTGACGCCTCCCTGGAGTGGCTCGCGAGGCGGGATCCCAACGGTATGCCGAAAATGGCGAGGCGGGGCGTGACGCCCTCACGCTGCTCTGGTTGAACTCGGCGAAGTGGGATCCCTGGGACCACCCGGACCATGAGGAATACTATCGAGGCCTGGCGGCTACGGTTAGCTTGGCTAGCGAGGCGGACCGGGTGCACTGTTGTACGAGTCTCGCAGGCGCATCCCGTCGAGTGGTGAATCAGCTTTCTGAGGCCCTGGCAGCGGCCAGGACGACGGCGACGTGGACGACGAAGACGAGGCGACGAGGACGACGAAGACGACGAGGACAACAAGAGAGACGACGACGATGACTGCGACGGTAAAGGCGACGGCGACGAGAGTGACGACGCCGAAGGAAGTGTTCGAGAAGGAGGGCGACGACGAGCACGGAGACAAGAGCAACAACGACGAGGCCGACGACGAGGGCAATGCCAACGACGACGGGGGAGACGGAGCAGAAAAGATGGGGGCGGGGAGATGGGGAGAGAGAGGGGACGAGTAAGAGGCATTTTGGAGAGGACGACGAGGATGGAAAGGCAAGAAAAGGGGTTTAGTGGAGGGCGACATCCCTTTTTGACACCTCCAACCTCCGTCTCTCCCCCTCCCATCCCTCCTCTCCTCCCTCTTGCTCCCTCCACACCATTCCATCCGTTGCCCTTCTGTCCTTCCTTCCCCCCCTTTCCAAAGCGACGCGGTGTCTGTCATCAGGAGCTGCCTGGTGGGGTTCGTCATGATGATCAGAATGATGACCCACATGTAAGTCATGGCCTGTAGAAGCTGGATGGTCAATGGCTGAGATGGTACTCATAGCTGCGTTTGAAATATCAGTAGATGGGGTTGAATCGATGCCGATGGCGTCAGCAAGGGCAACTGTTAGTGGTTGGCACGGCGTTGAGGTCAACAGCGGAGGGCCCATATGTGCCATCGGCCATCCATGGAGCAAACAACGCGATACTCGTCGTTGCAATGTGCTGGGCGCGGCAGCGCGGGTGGTGGCTCGCATCCAACATAACTTCATACTTGAGCAAGGCCCAGCGAGCATGGCTATGATACACAATCGCAGAATAAAGAGCGGCGCTACTGTCCGACAGAGCGCTGCGATGAGGAGGGAAATGAACGACGCAGGCGGGAGGTCTGTCCAACATGACAGTACTTGGGCTGCGTGTTGCGTGACCGTGTACGGATGTGTGGCCGTTGCGGGCGACAGTGCGATGTGTATGAGCACGCTCCGCATAGCGCCCTTGGCAATGTGTCCTGCACATGTGCGCGTGCGTGTGTGCGAGGGTGTGCACATGAATGTGCGCGCGGACCGTTGTGCGCGTGCGTGTGTCCGTGCTTGCAGGTGCGTAGGTCAAACCGGTAGAAAGACGTGAGGTGGTGCTGGGCATGCGGAGTCGCAACTGAGAGCGCTTCACAGTGTAGGAGGATGCCCTGTGCAAACAAGGCAATCGGTTGCCAATGCCGCAGTTCGCGAAGACAACAACAAACCAAACAACTGGTGGCGAGGTGACGGCAACATGGCGGTGGGCTCGCGTCACGACGGGGTCTGCGCTAGCTTCCAATAGCGCATGGGTCGTTGGACGTTGAACGACCGGGACATCCTCACGACGCAGCGAAGAACGTTCGCGTCGTTTTGGAGGCCTCAATGGGCACCAACACCAACACAGGAGGTTGCTTCTACAGGGGGAAGATGATCCCAGATTTTGGTGTTGGTGGTTATCTTCCGGTCACCTTGAAGCCAAAGCCAGAGTATTACCACCACCACCGAGATCGGGATATTCTTCCCTCGGTGGAGGCACACCGCCGATGTTGGTAGGGGGCCACATGCGAACCCTACCCCTACCCCCCGCGATTTCTGAGGGGGAGGGTGGGGTTCACGTCGTTCGGGAGCTCCCGAGCGAAGTGAACTCCACCGTCCCCCTCAGAAATCGTGGGAGGTAGGGGCAGGGCTCGCATGTGGCCCCCTAGTTGGTGTTGGTGTCAACCTCTGGGCCTGCGATCCTTCCGATGCCGCAGCTCGTCCGACCTCTGGCAATTTCTGCGCCACAGCTACCGTTCGACCTCGAGCACGCCCGCGCTGGGGCCGCCGCCGCTGCACTCCCGCGAGAGCCGCCCGTGGTTTTCTGTTGATGTAGCGCAACACGGATCACCGAACACGCCGTCCCCGAGGGGCTCCCGGGAGGCCCCCCAGAGGTTCTCCCAAGGGGCCCCAGGAGAGAGGCCCACAGGAGGTCCCCGGGAAGCCCGAGGAGGCCCCCAGGAGGCTCCCAGGAGGCCCCCAAGAGGCTCCCAAGAGGCCCCAGAATTCCTCCCCAGAGGCCCCCGAGAGCCTCCCGAAGAGACCCCAAGAAGCATCCCCAAGGCTACGTCAGCGTCGTCGTCGTCGTCGTCGCCGCCGCCGTCGTCGTCGTCTCCCTTCAGGGTCGGCGGCGCCGGCCGTACGGCCTTCGCAAAATTGTTCTGCGATTGTGCATCCACGCTGAAAACGGACGAAAGCTTTCCAAGGGCCTTCTCGGGTCGGACAGGACGGGGGAGGGCAGCAAACAGGGGGTTAGTGAATCCGCCGACCTCTTGAGGGTTGTGGGATACTCGCCCCTCCCCAAACCCCTCCCCCTGGGAATTCGGTCAAGCCAGTCCGGATGGGCGGTCTGGCTGCAATGTGCCAGAGGGGTCAGTCGCTTCAAAACTGCCCCTGGACGGCCTCAGCCAGGGTCCGCGTCGCCTCAGGCGGGCCCATCACAGCCCAGACGTCCCATCCCACCCGGGAGATCCCCGAGATCGCCCCAAGACGGTCCAAGAGTCCCCCCCCGCAAGGCCCCGAGACGGCCCAGGAAGCCCCCCCGAAAGGGGCCCCACGACCCAGGAGGGCTCGACCGCGGCCCAAAGAGGCCCCCGCGAAGGCCTCGCGGCCCCCAAGACGGTCTCAGAGCGGCCCCCAAGACGGCCTCAGAGCAACGGACGGAACGGGTCTTGCGCGAAATGGAACAGCGACCCTACGCGGCGGCTTACGCGAGCCGCCAGCGCGGCACGCCTCATTGCAAGCGGGGGAACTCACGCACGACCTTACGCGGGCAGCTTGCGCGCCAATGTCGGCGCAAACGGCCCCGTTGTTCTGCATCGCCCATGTCGCTCAAGCGCGCCCGAAGACTACGAATGCCGCCCCCGAGAAGCCCCAGGAGAAGTATCGAACGAGGCCCTGGTCGGTCGCGCGCGTTCGGCCCACGATTCGAGCGCGCCGAGAGGCCTCTAAAAGGCTCCCACGACTACAAATACCCAAAGGCCGTCAGGATCCCTGTTCAGATCGTCGCCTGGCTTCTTCCTGCCCTCTGCCTTGCGAGTCTTCGCGTCCCGCGGCCATGCCCACCCTCGCACCATGTGACCCTCGTCCTCGTTCTCGTTCACCTCCTGCCCCTGTGCCACTCCTTCCCTCCACTCTGTCTCCTTGGATGCCCCCACTGGCCATCGCTCGGACGTCCATTCCCTGTGTTGTTTTTGATTTCGTGCGTGGTTTTTTCGCCAAATGATCAAGGATGCTCCTCGACGGTCCTCGCCGAAGGAAAAATGCACACGTCCGAGTGATGCCAAGCCCAAATATCCCTATCGCTCGAAGGTGCGCCGCTAATCGGCGCGAGCCCGCTCCCTGCCGCTCGCGCGCCGAGCAGGCGGATCTGAGGCCCCCCGCCGGCGTGGGCCACGCCCCGCGCTTCGTGAGACTGCGTCGCGCTGGCCCTCTGGGCGAAGCGGCGGTTGGCTTCCTGCCGCACTCCGCCGCTCCCATCCGTGCGGGGCGCCTCGTTTCGCACGTGAACCAAGTGATTAACCAACTCACGCCGATGCTTTCCCCTGCGACGCAAGCACTCGTCGGCGAGGCCCCATTCCAGCTTCACGCAGCAGATGTTGCAACCCCCCATTTCTTATATAATCCCTCGCCTTCCTGAAGGCTTTCTACAGGAGAGGACTGGCTGGGGGGGGGGACACCAGCCCTTGAAGGCGTGAGTGGTTTAGCAAGTTTCCTCTTTCGAGCCCCCTTCTTCCCCTTCGGGGAAGGGCGCACCCATTCCCCATGCCCCTTCCCCGTCGATCTGGAGGGGGGGGGGGGGTCGCGGCGCGACCCACTGGAGCGTCAAAGACGGCCTCGGCGAGAAGCCAAACAACTGACTTGACTGAGGTTTGGGGCCAATGTTGGCCTCCGAGAGGGGCCGAATTGAATGATCCCCCCCTCTTTGATCGATCTCCTCCAAGATGGCGCCCAAGGCTCCCAGGAGTGCCGCCAGAGGCGCCCAAGAGGCGCCCAGGAGGCGCCAAGAGGCCTCCAAGAGGTCCCCAAGAGGCCCCCAAGAAACCCCTTAAGAGGCTCCCCCGAGGCACCCAAGATACACCAAGGTGCCCCTGGGGCCACCAAGAGGCCCCAAGAGAATTCCAAGAAGCTCTCGAGAAACATTCGAAGAGACTCCGAGAGGCATCCAAGAGGCCGCTGCCCTTTCTGCTCGCCCTCCTCCTCCTCCTCCTCTTCCTCTTCCGCCTATTCCTCCTCCTCCCTCCATCCTCCTCCCTCCTCCCTCCTCCCACCTGCCTCCTCCTTCCTCCACCTCCCCCTCCCCCTCCCCCACTCCCTACTCCTCCTGCTCCTCCTCCTCATCCATTATCCCCCTCTACGGTTATGGCCTCTTACCCAGCCCTTTACCCCACTGCATGCCCCTTCACATCCCTGATCAGGGCAACTCGTCTGGGCATCGCTTCTGGAATGGGCTGGTGAGGTGACGCGAGGCGTCTACAATGGACCTGGAATCGGCGACGCTTCGCAGATATCGTCGGCGAGCCCGGAGGAGAAGTGAGAAGGGGCGGGCCTTCTAAGAAAAATCGGACATTCCCTTGCCGTCTGAGAAGTCTCGGGGATGGACAGACCTCCCTTCAGTAAGACGTGTTTTAGTGAAAACGACCTGAGGCCCAAACCTGGCGTGCGCAAGCCTGGAAAACAACGGCCGCGGCGCCCTCTCGAGAACCGAACACGGACAACTCACGAATCGACGCGTCACTGTTGGGGGTTCTGTCCGCCCCCGAACGTCCCGCCACCTTCCGAGAGGGTCTGCTCCTTCTCACTTCCCCCCCCTCGCTCGCCGCCCGCCCCATGGCCTGAGGACCCCCCCGGCGCCCGGGGGGACGGCGCGCCGCGAGCACACCCCCCAAAAGTGGGAGGCGGGGAGCCCACTGGAGGCCATTCCGGAAGCCCCCAGGGCCCGTCCCCTGCAGTGCCGCACCTACGGGGGGGGGGACCTCGTCCGTCGCGTCGCGCCCCTGCGCGCGTCGAATCCGCGTCGGAGAGGGCCCTCTCCTTCTCACCTTCCCCCCCCCCCATCGCTCGCCGCCGAGGGTGGACCAGCGGCAGGCCCCCGATGGCGAAGCCGCGCGTCGCAGGGCTCAGGCAACGACCGGCGAGACGTGTGGGCGAGCGTCGGGCAGACGCCGACACTTCCCAGCCTCGAACGTATCCCTATCCCGAAGATTGACACGCCAAAAGGCGATGACAATCTTAGGTATTCGCCCCCGAAAAAAAAAGGGAACCCCTGAGATTGGCATCGTGATGAGGAGGTGCCCAGCACAGGGATGGGGATATGCTCCAGGCTGGTAAGACACGCACTGGGGACCGTGGGCCCTGGCGCATTTGAGGGGGGGCCACGGTCGGGGGGGGCCCGGCCTCGCGGGGGGGGGTGCGTCGACCTGGGATCGGCGGCACGTGAGCAGGGACCGACCGTCCCGGCAGCCCTACAGGCCTAGCACGAGGTGTTCTGAGGAGGCCCTGGAACACACAAACAAATACACACAAAGGAGAATATTCCCCATCTGTTCCCCGATGTTCTGGCCCTTTGTCTTCCCCCCCCCTTCCCACATGTTCCAATATTTTCGGGGGAATCGACGATTCGTTGTGTCTGTGTTTCTTTCCCTCCTGATGTTCGTAGAGCCCAGATACATTCCAAGAGCAGGAACCATGTTCTTAGAACATGAGCCCGAGGTGCTAGAACAAGACCACCTCAGCCAGCAATGTTCTAAGAACCGAGCCGGGACGCCTCGCCACTGTCGGGGAAACGTAAGCCTCAGGTACGGGGGACTCGGGTTGGCCTGACGGGGCCATCATAAAAAGGACTCGGCCCAATCTGAAATTCGACGCTAAATCCCGCTGCAAACATCCAACGAACCCTGGACCGTCAAAATCCAGGACGCGCTCGGCAAAAAACGTCGGCAGACCCGAGTTCCGGCTTACTTCAAGGGGCCCAAGGACACGCAAACAAATACACACAAATAACAGGATCCCCAATTTTTGTTTGCATATTTTCTGGATGTTCGTTTCCCCCCCCACTTCCCATATTTTGATCATTTTCCTGGAGATCGACGATTCATTGTGTCTGTGTTTTTTCCCCTTCATGTCGGGAGCGGCCAAGAGGGGGGTGTCCACGAGGGGGGGGTGCAAATCATGACTGGCGGCACGTGCGCGGCCCAGCGGGGGGGGGGCCAGGGACGTAATGAAATGAGAAGAGGCGCCACGAAATCTGGGAAAACATCATGGCCCCCGCCATGATATCCACCCGCCCCTAGTCACCACCCCCCTCTTTTCCGCCCCCGATCCTGAACATCGTCCCTCGACCGGTGATGGGCCCCAGGCAGCGTAGCCGCGCCCTCCTGGGCGGGGCGGGGCGCTCGGACCCCCCTCTCGGCGATCCATGGGCGATGCGGGGTCGATGCCTCCACCCCTGTGCTGACGTCGGGTCTGTCCTCCTACAGGGAGACTCCGGACGACAAATTTTGAAAAAAGTAGTCCGAACATACCCCCACATGGTCAACAAAAATGCTAGGAACAGTCTCCCCCCCGACTATTCTTCTGCTGTTGGAACACTCTTCCTGCAGAGGGACACGCCCGACTGACCCTATGCCTATCCCCCACCCCCCCCACACCGCTGCCCCTGACGCATGGGCGCCAAATCCGCGGATCAGGCCCGCCCGTCCGAGCCGGCCCCCCCCCCGCAACG